CTAGCTTTGATTTAGCAGAACTATATCCTGTTTATAAGGACTTATAAAATTAATGCTTTATGAAGTTTTATTACACAGTAATCATTGCTGGCCACTTCTGGTATAAAGTGAATTAGATGTAATTCTTCTACATTAGCATTCATAGATGATTTTATTAAAATAGTAGCAACGTTAAAGGCCAGAAAATTAAGAAACAATCTTATTTGACTTATTGGAGATAGCACTATGGCAAGGTCTATCAAAATTCTTTTTATCTTCTGCAACAGTAAAATGAAACACTCCAAAAATGCAGTAAAGATACTAAGAGTCAGATATTTTGCAGACAAGAAAACCTTTTATTTTAAACCACAAATAGTCAGCAGGTGGCCACAACTATCCATGTTTCATTAAAATCACATAAAACCTAGGTACAAAAGCACCACTGATTATTGCTCTAGAAAAACTGCATGAAAATTTCAAATATGCACAGTAAAAACACCACAGTATGCACAGGACTAAGTTTTAAAGCAAGTGCATGGAATGCTGAATCAATCTTACACACAGCTTCCAATATTAAACTGGTATTTATTTTACTTGAGGATGATGTAAATTTCCAAAAAGCATGACTATGAGAGGGTAAACTGTCCATCCTTATATATTTTTGTATGTCAACTAGTAGAGTCCTAAAAAATTAGCATTTACAAAATACTTGGTAAAAATAGCTTTTAAAAGTTGTCCCAAGAGATACATAAAATCAACCCCAATTTTTCATGACAATTCATTCTCCCTTGTTATCTACAGATTCAGTTTTCTGTGCCTGTGAAAAAGAAAGGAAAAAAATATATAGTTACTACTAAAACTACTACAAGAAAAGGAAATTCCACCCACCAACACACACAGTTTTGAACATTTGTTTTCTTTTTTTTTCCTCCCAGCTTTACTGCAAAACCTATTTCAACTCTGGGTGAAAAAGAGGCAAGGCAGGAAAATATCACACAAACAATTGGTTGTGTTTATTGCTTTCTGCTTTTCAAACAACCACAGAAGCCTTACCTGGAAGCTCCCACTCTTCATCATAATAATTAAGAAAAAAAAAGACCACATCACTACTATCTGATTCTAGTCACTGCAAACATGCAGAATTTTCTACTGTACCCTTGACTCTCCCTGTTTCAATCTGCCCCTTTACTGACAGTGTGCTGGGTGGGGTACCTCTGGAGGTTGAGACATTAACAGTTGAGCGAGAGATGTGGATCTGCAATAACATTACAGGCAATAAAAAGAGACATTAAGAACGAGCTATCACCGGCTGAAGGATTGAGAAATTTCTTTAAAGACACTGATTCAATCAGTGGGAGGTATTTATGGAAAGTACCTCTTCAGCTTTAGTTTCACCATTTTCAGATGGTGCAGTACCTTCCTTTCCAGCTTCCTGCTTTTCCTCCTTCTTCCCTTTAGCACCTCTGCTAATCTTTGCTCCAGGTTCTTTCTAACAGAGGATCAAAACACAGGGAAAGAGAATGTTAGAAACAGCGTGATGTTGGCTAAAATCAATCAGCCTCTGTCCAAACACAAAGGTGAAGCACAACCGTCACCACTGTGGTGGCCTTTATGGAGACATGGGAACCCAATTTTGCTGGGTTTCAACTAAGTTACACAGCACAGATATGAAACTCTGTGAAAATGTGGTAACAGGTTGCATAGAAAGTCCACTGTGCTTTCTCTTCTGTGGAAAACACAATCTGTGATTCCTCTCCTAGCTTTGGATTTGTTCAGTGGATCTCCCTCCAGTAAGGGGAGAAGTGGTTCTGCCATGGAGAGAGCAGCAGCAGGACTTGGGGAAAGATGAGGCAGAGATGGGAAGAACCCAGCCAGGGGGTGGCTCTGCTGCTGCTTTCCAAGGAAACCCCTCACATGGCTTGCATGACTAGAAAGCTGGGAAGGTGTCAGGAAATGAAGCCCAGATGAAGAAAAGTTCCTAATTTTAAGACCTAGCAACAAAAATAAGTTCTGTTTCTGGAATCACCTATTCACGCCACGACACACATAACTTTTAAACAATTTACATGAGACAATACCAAAGGGCAGAGTGCAGAAAAGCCATTTTGGGTAAGTTCCCTAATAAATCTGTACTTCAGTTTCCTCATCTGCAAAACAGGATATTTGTATCTACTTCAATAAAGCTGATGTGAGGGTCATATGAGTAAAGCAATCAACCATATCTGCCATAGTATAAAGGCCTTATAAATGCTAGTATTACTTACTGGCATTATTTTATTATTATTATTAGACCTCAGACTGGCCTGCGAAATCCAGTTAGATGAAGTCAGAGCCCCTTCCCAAACTCCTCCCACAGTGAGGCGGTGCTGCGAGGGCCGAAACTCACCCCACTGCATGCCATGTGAACCGCAGGTTCACAAGGCTGCTGCCAAATCCCCTTCAGACGTAAGGCTTCTCAGAGCAACATCTCTGACTTCCTGTGCCTCACTGACCAAATGAAAAGCACACTCCTATTAACATAGAAACTGTGCTTTATTCCTTTTAAGAAGGCCCATAACAGTGATAACGGTTTTCTGGTCAGTACATTTTAGCTTGGATCATTAAATATGGCTTTTCCTTAATAATTCTGAGGTAGGGAATTATAAATTATTCATTGTTTAAAAAGCCAAGAGTAGGAAACAGCATTTCTTACCTTAACAGATGTTTTTCTTGGTTTGGGTTCAGGTTTTGGTGGAGCAGGTTTCTGCAAAGATAATATAAATTACACAAATACTAAAAAAGACAACTGTCAGCACCAAAAGAAACACAAAGAAACAAACAAAGACAACTATCCATTTTCACATGGCTTTGGTCATTAAAAAGTATTTCATCCTATTTTCAGCAGCAGGTAACAGCTTATAAAGATCTCTGCACTTCATAACTATTTTCACCCTCAGTTCATAAGGGAACCACAGGTGAGACCGAAAAGCCGACTCCTTATTCCCCAGTCCAGAAGAGCTCTCCTGGAACAGGTCTAAGCTTCTATCTCCAATGTGTCTGTTCTTCCCTTTATCACAGCACAGCAGCAAGAGGAATGACTCAGGCCCATGGCCAAAGGACTCAATGAATTCAGTTGCACTGGCCTTCCTAACAGTCTAGAAATCATAGCACAATCACTAGCAAAGTCCAACTGGTAATGAAGACTGCTGCCTGTGAAGTATTTCAAAATCACTTTCAAATCCTTCCACTTCTGATGTCGATTTCGAGTTCTGTTGCCAAGCTTCTTCCTACTTTTATTCTCTCCATTGCCAGCTCAAGGTGAGAATCTCTTGCCTGACCAGATGCTGGGCTCATTTGTCTCTAGAGGTTTTTATTGAGAACATAATTATAATGCTAAAATGTCTACTGTTAGCTCCCAAAGTTTAAAAATTTTCACAGATATTATTAGCCAAAGAGTCCCCTAGGAAACTATTTTTCTCCTGCCTCATGTGGTCCTGCAGTCCCCATGAGCAGCACATGCACAGCGTGTGACCATGGTCCCTCCTCCACACAATGCTTCAGTCCTGGCTAGCTTCCAGGGGCCTGAGACCAGGTGGCACATGGGGACACTGGGGAAAGATAACCAGTTCAAACCAGGAGTTTTCTGTAGATATTTTAGGGCAAATATTTCTCTCATAGAACTAGAACGAAGTGTACATATCTCCTGGCAATAGAAGAATGGTTTTAAAATAGAAAACACTGGCCAGGGTCTCCCCCTATGGAGAAAAATACATGTTCCTCCCTAGTGCCTCTAGGTAATTCAGGTTTGCACAGAATCTGGCCCTTTTCATCAAGGGCATAAAGTGAAATTATAGATAGTTCCATTCCAGAAGACTGGCTGTTAGAAATGACCTTTCAAATAAAAAAAGAAAATCGAGCTTGAAAAGTAAGAAATGTTTTTATTAATTTTCTTATCACCCTAAATCTACAGCCCAAATACAGCAGCTTTCATGGCTCTTACATTTTCAGAATTTAAAAAATTTTGTCACCCTAAGCTTTGATATATTGTATTAATATACATGTTTTCTCCATTTACAGTAAATAATTTACTTTTATATTATTTTCTGTAGGACAGGCCTTTCCCTCTGACCCAGCATTCAAGTGTTTTGATAGGACCAGGAAATGAGGTTTTGTAGTCTGTAATCCTGCTGGCCTCTGAGGAGGCTCTGTTTCAGTAGCACAAGGAATGATCTCAGTGTAAGGTGCTTATATTGCCAGTTTCTGGTGCTCAGTAAAAGCTTTGTTTGAGATTTTGGTTTTCATTTGACTTACAAGGTCTATTCCTTTACCTGCCTAGAGATTCACAGCAGCACCCCTAGCTCTTAAGTCCTCCTAGTGACTGATATCTGTTCCTAATATCAGGAAGATAGTCGTTTGGCTGTGTCCCCAGTCAAATCTCATCTTGAGTTGTAACTCCTACAATTCCCATGTGTCGTGCAAGGAACCTAGTGGGAAGTGATTGAATTATGGGGGTGGGTCTTACCTGTGCTTTTCTCGTGATAGTGAATGAGTCTCACGAGAATTTAAATTCATCAGATCAAGCTCTCTCTGAACAAGTTCAGATGAACAAATTCATCTGAACAAGTTCTCTTTCTCTCTCTGCCTGCCAGCATTCACGTAAGACATAACTTGCTCCTTTTTGCCTTTCTCCATGATTATGAGCCTTCCCCAGCCACATGGAACTGTGAGTCAAATTAAACTTCTTTCTTTTGTAAATTGTCCAGTTTTAGGTATGTCTTTATCAGCAGCATGAAAATGGACTAATACAGTACATTAATACCAGAAGAGCAGGTCACTGCTGAAAGATAACTGAAAATGTGGAAGTGACTTTAGAACTGGGCTGGAACAGTTTGGAGGGCTCAGAAGAAGACAGGAAAATGTGGGAAAGTTTGGAACTCCCTAGAGACTTGTTGAATGGCTTTGACCAAAATGCTTATAATGATACAGACAATGAAATCCAGGCAGAAGTGGTCTCAGATGGAGATGAATAATTTGTTGGGAAGTAGGGCAAAGGTATGTTTTAGCAAAGAGATTGGCAACATTTTGCCTTTGCTCTACAGATCTGTGGAACTTTGAACTTGAGAGAGATGGTTTAGGGTCTCTGGTGGAAGAAATTTCAAAGCAGGAAAGCATTCAAGATGTGACTTGGGTGCTGTTAAAGGTATTCAGTTTTAATCAGAAAACAGAGCATAAAAGTTTGGAAAATTTGCAGCCTGACAATGAGATAGAAAAGAAAATCCCATTTTCTGAGGAGAAATTCAAGCTGGCTGCAGAAATTTGCATAAGTAATGAGGAGCCAAATGTTAGTCACCAAGACAACTGGAAAAATGTCTCCAGGGCATATGAGAGACCTTTGCAGCAGCCCCTCCCATCACAGGCCTAGAAGATTAGAAGGAAAAAATGGTTTCGTGGGACAGACCCACGGTCCCTCTGCTGTGTGCAGTGTAGGGACTTGGTGTCCTGTGTCCCAGCCACTCTACCTGTGACTAAAAGTGGCTATGGTACAGCTCAGGCTATTGTTCAGTGCGTGGAAGCCCCAAGCCTTGGCAGCTTCTGTGTAGTGTTGAGCCTATAGGAGCACAGAAGTCAAGAACTGAGGTTTGGGAACTTCCACCTAGATTTCAGAAGATGTATGGAATCAGCTGGTTGCCCAGGCAGATGTTGTAGGGGTGGGGCCCACATGGAGAAACTCAGTTAAAGTGGGAAAGAAAAAAATCAATTAATACAGTGTGTGACAGTTTTTACCTGAAACCACCAGCAAACTAACTGACCTTTTCACTTTTAAATAATTGTGTTGATGTCCTGAAGACATTATCATTATCAGAAGTGCAGAAGGGAAATGTGGGGTTGGAGCCCTCACGCAGGGTCCCCACTGGGAAACTGCCTACTGGAGCTGTGAGAATAGGGCCACTGTCCTCCAGGCCCCAGAATGGTAGACCCACTGACAGTTTGCACTGTGCACCTGGAAAACCTGCAGCCACTCAATGCCAACCTGTGAAAGCAGCTGGGAGGGAGGCTGTACCCTGCAAAGCCATGGGCTAGAGTTACCCAAGACCATGGAAACCCACCTCTTGTATCAGTGTGACCCAGATGCAAGAGGAGGAGTCAAAGGAGATCATTTTGGAGCTTTAAGAGTTGACTGCCCTGCAGGATTCTGGACTTGCATGGGGCCTGTAGCCCTTTTGTTTTGGCTAATTTCTCCCATTTGGAACAGCTGTATTTACCCAGTACCAGTACCCCTACTTTACCTAAGAAGTAACTAACTTGCTTTTGATTTTACAGGCCTATAGGCAGAAGGGACTTACCTTGTCTCGAATGAGACTTGGACTTTTGAGTTAATGCTGAAACGAATTAAGAGTTGGGGGAGTGTTTGGGAAGGCATGATTGGTTTTGAAATGTGAGGAAATGAGATTTGGGAGGGGCTGGGGGTGGAATGATAGGCTTTGGCTGTGTCCCCACCCAAATTGTATCTTGAATTTTAACTCCCACAATTCCCCTGTGTTATGGGAAGAACCTGGTGGGAGGTGACTGAATTATGGGGGTGGGTCTTTCCTGCGCTGTTCTCATGATAGTGAATGAGTCCCAGGAAATCTGATGGTTTTAAAAATGGGAGTTTCCCTACACAAGCTCGCTCTCTCTGCCTGCTGCCATCCACGTAAGATGTGACTTGTTCTTCGTCTTCTGCCATGATTGTGAGATTTTCCCAGCCACATGGAACTTTAAGTCCACTTTAAGAAAGAAATTAAATTTCTTTCTTTTGAAAATTGCCCAGTCTTGGGTATCTATTTATCAGCAGTGTGAAAATGAACTAATAAACTTCCTTATGAGACTCGTGAAACACTGGCTCAGCCGAACCAAACAGCTGTACTTCTGAACTTGTGAGTGGTCCTAATATCCATTTTTGTTTTGATTCCCTACATTGTACCAGGCACAGGTTTGGGTTGAGAATGAAATCCATGCTTTCCTGAAGGCCAAAGTAGCATGAAGCTTTTGTAATAATTAGCATGGGGATATATTAATATAGTGTCAGTCAAAATGTCAATGCCTTTCCCTTTACCTTCTCAGTGGGAAGCCTGGGCTGCAGGAACTTTAACCAAAATCCTCCACTAGAGTCCAGCTAATCTATTAGGAGGGCAGCAAAAGAGAACGGCATAAGAGCTAGTAAGGAGCACATACTGGTACGGAAAAGCTATAGGATGTCCACCTCAGAGGCTCAGCCATATCTGCCCATTTCAGCTTGTATCCTAACCCCACAAGAATCTCCTGGCCCACAGAAGGAGACTCCAAATAGCAAAGTAGAATTATCACTGTTACAAAGATTCTTTAGGTCTGAAATGAGGCTACAGTACATGGACTCAGACAACTTTCAGAACATTCTCATACAAACATTCTAAAGTATGAGTTGTGAACAGAGAATCAGAATTCTGTCCACTTCAGTACATCATAGGTAGAATCTGAAGACTGGAACTTTGCTTAATGTACTACTTTTGTTTCAGAGATCTAGCAATGTCAAATAACATCCTTTTTTATATTCTTTGTAATGGGTCTAGCCACTGTTTTTTTTGACACATTTGATCAAATGAATTGCTTGGCAACACTGGTCAAATCTGCTACACATGAGGACCCTAGGTAGTTTTCAAAAAGAAAATAAACTCATGGGAAACCATCTTCATCTTCCTTTTGCTGCTTCACTTTGGACAAAGGGATCATGTACTCACGTGAACTAACACCGAAGTGGTTCTAAGGTACTTACCGCTGACAATCTGGCAGACCGTCTTGTGGGCTACAAAGGGAATGGAAAAATATACATATTTTTTGGTGATTATATAAAGCGAAGTTGATTTTTAAAAATCTATTCTTAATATATCTTACTTTGTTGAATGACTATAATGTATGAGTCCCGTCACCTTCTCCAGGTAAGCACAGTGATATTCCAAGTCTCCTAGGCATCATGATACTAAAGAGGAAGTGTTTCTAAAAAGGGGTAGGTACACTGCTCAAATAAACGGCCACTCCCAACCAAGGGTGTGGTGAGTAAGTAAAGGAAATGAAGATGAATTTAGGCTTTATCCCGAATTAAAACCTCTACTTTTATGACAAAATCAACAGCAAGAACATTGAGGTGCTACTTAAGAGCTAGTCTTCAGTCTGACCCCAGCTCCTTAAAAATGGAACTAAAGCATTTAAGTTAATACAAGAAGAGACTTATGCAATTGGGTAGAAACTAAAATAGCAGGAGTTCCCCATGTTCCCCAGGCTGCTATGTTAGAAACGAAAATGACTACAAATCTTGGCAGTTAACAAGAACGGTTTCTTTTGACCTATAATAAAACAAACACATTTGTCTATATGTTCAAAGATTTAACTAGAATTAAAAGTGTATACATTTTTTCTTTTAACTTCAAAGTTTAGAAAAATTACAGAGAAGCTGTGTAGAGATTGATCTTTTGGGGAAAATCTTCTCTTCTTCAAGGATACTACAAGTTAACAGCAAATGACACTGGAAACTGGCCTAGGCACTTCAGCAATAACACACAAAATTGATATTCTACTTACCATCCGGCCTAACATGGCTCCCCAAAGGCTTTCACATTCTAAAAGCCTTTTAAAAAAAGTGCTTCAGAAATAAATACCCCATACTTTTTATCTTCTTAATTCACTGTTCTATTTCCAGTACAGTAGTGTACTGCCCAACATACAGTACAAACTCAGAATATTTGCCAAATAAATGAATCCAATCCTTTTCCTAATTCTCACTGCCTCATGCAGACTTTGTCTCATTACAATAGCTTAAATGTTTCAAATAATTTTTCCTAAGGGGGATAGTAAAAATGGTCAGTAGGAATCCATGCTGTAATTATGAGGAATCATGGAATTCTTGAAGTGGGGCTAAGGTCAGTCAAGGTCAGCCAGTCAGGCCAAACTGGAAGAAATATTTCTTGCCATCTCCACATCTAAGAACTTTCTTGCTGAAAATAGAGAAGCTAAACTCATCTTTCTTTAAACTACAGAAGGAAATGAAGGGCCACAGCCTTCATGAATACTTTTAACCCTGGGGTCTTGAGGAAAGATCAGAGCTGGACTTAAGACCAGCGAGAAGAATGTGCTGAGAATGGGAGACAGTGCAGGTTAAGTGGTTAGGTGGGATACACTCACTGCACAGAGTAAAAGCACGTACAGCTCAGCGCATAGTCCTGTGAATCAGTACAGGAGAAGCGCCTGTCAGATTCTCCATAGGAACCATAGTGCCTGCTATGGTTATCAAGGGTGCATTCCTGACAGTGCGCCCTTGAGTCCCTGGGCACCAGAATCCAACTTTCATAATACTTTTTACAGGATGGTTAACTGTATTAATTGAGTATACTGAAGAAAAGGCAACATTATCAAGTAAACTGGGCAATAAAAGGGTATCATGTGGTTTTTTTAATGTGCTTTCTGAGCAGAGAGGAGAAAAGAGCACCTGCCAATTACCCAACAGAGCTCAGCTTTGAAGCTTCAGTGTGGCCTCAAGAACTACTCATGTCTCACAAACTACAGCAGGCAGAACAATACCTTCCAAGACGAAAGTGGCATTCTCCATGCTAAAGAGAGGTGAATGAACCTTATCTGACTCCCTCATGACTTGATGTCAACCCATGTGCATCATGTTGGTCTTGCCTCATATTCACTTTATCCGACTCAGGTCTCCATCCCCTCTTGCACAGGACCACTTCCTCTTACATTTCTATGGCTCCAATATGCAACAGGGACCCTCAATAGGTGTTGAGATGAACAGAAGGGGTAAGCACCAGAAACATACAGCAACAGTGAGCTTGTGGGAGGGGAAGAGGTCCTGGAGCCACTACTCAGTTACTCTTTAGTTTGAGGCCTGAAAGGGGGACAAACATGTTAGCCCTTACTCAAAACTGCCTCCCTATCTGCCATCTACAAGTCTTCAATAAAATCTCCATGAAATGAGGCAAAATCATGTGAAAAGCTCCCCAACTATGACACTGTTATTCCTCTCCATGTGAACACCTGAACATACTCAATAGACTAAGTGATGTCAGAGAGCTCTTTGGGATTTCCAGAGACATTCCTATCTAAGCACTGCTTTGCAGGGCCTAACAGCTGTTCTGATCCAAAGGACTGAATACCTTTTAAAAATTCAGGTCCAGCACAGGAATTCCAAAATAAAAAGCCTAGGAAATTAATGCCCCAAAAAATTGCCTAACCTATCTAAACCAGCAAGTCCCTAAAAATCCTGTCTTCTATTATAAAATCATTTTGTGACTTTCTACCTAAAATTTACCAGCTCTTCTTTCTATGCCATTGAAAAAAGACCTTTCTTACATTTTCTTTTCCAGTAGCCACCATTTTTCTCTTTCACTGCAGACAGGGGAGGCTGAGACAAACCTTTCACTCAGCAGTACTGATTATGCATGCAAGTAAGGACACCTTCCTGGAAAGTTCCATCAGCTTTCACAGCCTTAAAAATCTATAAACTATTAGACTATATTTATTGGATATGAAATAGATTAGACTATTTTTTTCCTTTTTAAAACACTAACATCCGAAGTATTCGTTTGAGACTCAGATTGCTGGGTGGAACTACTAAAGAAAAAAAAAAGATACTAAGAATTTCTCTTGTTTTTTTTTTAATTGTGAATCCTCGGGAAAAGTGGTCCAGAGACTACTTATTAGCACTTCTTTGACATTCCCTATTACCCTTCCTTGCTGTTTCTTCATTGTCAATATCCAATTATTTTACTAGCTCTGAGAGGGAGGGAAGAAGGGCTTTTAGAATGAAAAGCCATCTTTGATAAATATGACAAACAGATATGACAAATGTGATGGTTTGTCACTATGGTATTCAGGTGATGGTCACAATGGAATTATTCCATCAGCATTTATTAACTGATCATCCTTTAGGTTGGAGAAAATTCTGGTGAAGCCTATTCTGAAAGACATGAAATCTACTTTAATGTCCTGGTTGCAGAAGCAACGCAGAAGTCTAATCTCCCAATGACAAATTAGACAGTGATAGCTAGATTCAATGGAATCACTGGGCTTTGTTGAATTGGAAATATGGGAGTATTTTTATTTTTGAGATTTTTTTACTCCTGAGCCTGACCATGTATCTCCAAGCAAAAAAAAAACGTCAAGTTGTTTTTAATTCTTAAAAAAAAAAAAAAAAAAAAAAGCCTAAAAAGAAATTGTCTTCTTTTCAAAACTGGGAAGTAGGAAAGTTTGTACCTCAGATCCTTGGCTGTGAATAGACAAGACAGAAAAATGGATACTGGATGACCAGATTTTTAGCACTGTCACAAAAGGGCCATAGGGATAGAGGATTTTTGAGCAGGAGATTCAGATCTGTTTCCTGGTTCTGCTATCGACAAGTTTTAACACCCAGGGAAAATCATGTTTGTCTAGGAACTTTGCTCTAGTTAAAATAGGGATAACATCTGCTAATATGTTCTCAAAAATAGCACTTCTCTAACATTAACTATTTCCCTTCCTTGCTTTGTTTTTTGTCATAGCTAATATTCAATCATTTTATTTACTCTCTCTTCCACTAACAGGTAGCTCCATGAAGGCAGGAATTTTTGCTTCTTTTGTTCAATGTGGGATCTGCAGAGCCTAGAACAGTGCTTGGCACATTATAAGTGCTCATACATTTTTGCTAAGGAATCATCTGCCTTCCTTTCACAGTATATAGACCGGACAAAATAATGGATGTAAAAGGGTTTGTAACTGTTGACTATAATGACTATATTATTTTGGTTATTTTCCATCCAACTCCCCTGAAATACTAACCTTTGTACAATGCATTCTAATATAATAGCGGAAGAGGATTTTCAAATAGAATCCCCCTTAGTAGCTGTTATCCATTCACTATCGTTAAGATAGTGCCATACTCAATGACATAGCTGGGAAATTAGTGGGAAAGAAAAAAAAATCAACTAATGCACTGACAGTTTTTACGTGAAACCACCAGCAAACTAACTGACCTTTTCATTTTTTAAATAACCGTTAAATGACAGGTAGTCTTTCCTAGAAAATACTTTTAGTAACAACAACAACATTTTGTAAAATATGTAGAAAATAAAATAAAATATAAAAATAACAAATAAAAACATAACAAAAAAATTAGCTGGGTATGGTAGCATGCACCTAGAGTCCCAGCTACTTACTCGGAGGCTGAGGTAGGAGAATCACTTGAGCCAAGGAGATGGAGGCTGAAGTGATTTATGATCTCGCCACCTCACCCACTCCATCCTGGATGACAGAGTGAGATGCTGTCTCAAAAAAAATAAAATAAAATAATATGTGTAAGACAGCTGTACAAGCAAAACCACACACATATCATTTATATATATTCTCACCAGCTTCATTTGCTTTTAGTATAGTAGAATTGGAAAGACTATCAAAGCTTACTGTGTGCCATGGTGTTCCTAGTTTTCCTGACTGATAAATCAATTTAAATGCCAGTCCCTAAAGAAAAACCCAGATGCTTTTGTTTTAGTGTCCAAATCTTAAAAACAATAAGGTTAGTTACACTTAGCCAACCGTTCTAAAAATCATGGCTGGGCGTGTTGGCTCACGCCTGTAATTCCAGCACTTTGGGAGGTCGAGGTGGATGGATCACAAGGTCAGGAGATTGAGATCATCCTGGTTAACATGGTGAAACCCAGTCTCTACTAAAAATACAAAAAATTAGCCAGACATGGTGGACATACTTGTAGTCCCAGCTATTCACGAGGCTGCAACAGGACAATCGCTTGAACCCAGGAGGCAGAGGTTGCAATGAGCCAAGATCGTGCCACTGCACTCCAGCCTGGACGACAGAGCAAGACCCCATCTCAAAAAAAAAAAAAAAAAATCACATTTTGCCATTTTCCGAGAAAATTCAAGCATTTGTCACTTTTTGGTTGGTTCTTATCATTTTTTGGTTGGTTCTCACATTTGTATGGTGACTCTGCTTTGGATAAAAGAAAAAATCATGATTATTCCAAACTCTGTCAAACCATGAATGCTAAGTACATAGATGGCAGAGAAAAACTGTTTTGTTTGTTTTGCTTTTAGGTTATTTCTTTATAGATTCTGTTTAAGATTTTCCACTTGGCAGAATGAATTTCCTTGCACAAATCTTGTATGGGGGTTTTGGTATTATGATAAACTCCTCTGAATTATTAACCACAATATGAATCACCCGATCAAAGAATCCGTAACTAGATATTGTTTTTGTCTCACTCATGACCCCTTTTAGTTGGTAAGTTCAAGGGTAACAGCTGCAGTTTTCCACCTACTCTAAAGCTCTGTGAAAAGACAATGGCTGTCTTCAAAATTACATCTCATTTCCTACTGTTTAGCCAATCTTTTTTTAGAGGTTCATAATAATAAATGTGGAGGGTCAAATTCCAGAAACTCTTCCAAGTTTCTAGACTTTTGGAGGTTTCCGAATTTTAATACAAAACATCATTGAGTCATTGCCTAATTAGTTATCCCAATATCCTTACTGCTCCCAATTTTTAAAAAAAAGCTTTAATATTTTGACATATTGTGTATCCTTCTACAGTTTTTGACTTTAAAGATGATCCTTCTCAGGCAAAATATTCAGCACCTAAAAAGTGATTTATAATCCACTCACTGGAGCACAGAATTTACGATATCAAGTCTTTCGTTTTCTTGGTGCGAAAGGCAGACTTTGTCGTCCTTGATGAATTTGCCTATTATCTTACTCTTTGCCCAGAAGGAATTCTCAGTATCTGCTTTACCAGAAAGTAGGGCCGACAAGTAGAAACATAACACAGTAAGTGGAAAAATGCCTCATCAATATACTCAACTGAAACATACCTAGGCCAAGAGAGACTACATACAGACACTTATCTCTGTTTTATGTAGTCTTAACAACCATGTTCATTCATATTCAACCTTGTTCATAACACTGTCTGCATTTCATTCAGATGCAGATAATCTTAACAATATTAAACATTTCAATGTAAATAATTAGATATAAAATGTTAAAGATATACTTACCTCCTGTTTAGTTACTTTGGATCCATCTTTGCCCTCCGCATTCTCTGGAGACTAGAAAGACAATATTTCAGTGAATTGTATTTAAATTGGAAAACACACATTAGAAAAATGTTTTTAAAAAGCTATTTCATTCCCAGAACCAAATAAGCCAACAGATTTTTTTTGCAGAGAAAAAATAAGTTATAACAGGATATGTCTTTTACACGCTTATGTGCAAGCATGCACACACAGTAGATAGCTGCATAACTGCTCTACTTTTAAAACAGAAATGGTGAAAGAAGGATGCCATCCCTTGTTCTCAATGTGCATGCACCCTAAGTGACTTTCATTTAACTTTGATGATTCCAGTTAAAGAACAGTGGCCAGCAGTCAGTGGCAGGAATGCCTGGGAGCCACCCTCTTGTTCCAATTGCTTTTCTAGTTACTCCATTCCTTTAAGATCAGGGTAGGCTGCTGGTAAAGTCCAGGCCAAACACGAAAGTACATTTTCATCCCATCCTTGCCTAGCCTTGATTTCTAGCCCATTTCTTGATATGACCTGACAAATTTATCATAGATTACTATTTTTCCATTATCAACTCCAGCATCTCTACTAAACTCCCAGCCTTGGCATGACAGCCAGGCTACATGCCACCCCCGATTTATTTCCAGGTTTTGATTCATCCCCTGGGGCAGCACCTGCCCCCTCTTGTGACAGCTGAAGCCTGGCTCCTTTACAGGATGTATATGCTATGGGGAAAATATACTTTATATTTTCTTTATATTTTAAAGTAAAATATACTTTGGATTTATTGGATACTCCACATGTCCCAGTATTTTTTATTGGCTACGAGTTAATAATATTTAAACAAACTAATTAGAAAACTAGACTATCTAACATATTTTAAAACTATTTTATGGTTGGAAAGTGAATACTCAGTCTCTACGGCACAAATAGGCTGCTGATCTGAATAGAAACCTCATTAGAAAAAAATACAAATAGCAAACTGACATTTGACATGATGTTTGGCTCAGCAAAATAAAACAGCTATGTGGTAATGCCTCATCTGATAAAAGGAGAACAAAATTCAAGAGATCATAAAACCCAGTGCTTGAGGCTGGTGGCACTGGAAATATAATAATTTCAAAGAACAACTTGGCAATATGAAAAAGACACAGAGGACTAATATGACCTAGTAATTTCAATTTTGGAACCTGGACTCAAAAAAAGAAACTCTTTGTAAATAATGGGTTTTATTTGTACTATTTTTAACATGGAATAAGTGGAAGCAACTCATGTATCAGTAAATAATAGAGAAATGTTTAAATAAACTATTATTTACATATTTATGTAAATATGAATGAACAGAATTAAAAAGTTAGGCAATCTGAATACATAAAAAGTCCACATAAAAGAATGCTAAACTTAAAAACTTAGGTCATAAAAAAGTATGCAAAACAAAAGTCCTAAGTATATATAAAAGTCTTTAGGAAAGAAAAAAGCTTTTCTTCAAGGCAAAGGATCCAGTGACCTTTGTCTATTCCCTGGGGCTGCCTATTACCCGTAGCCTATCATATGTCCTCTTTCCAGAACCTCCCATGTCATGGATTTCTCTCATTTCCAAATCAACCATCTCCCCTCCTCCATGGAAACTTCTCTATCATGAAGAAATAGCTTTCTCTTTTTTGTTCCCTACTCTCTTGCACAGGAATATTTGGTTCATAGATCTTGTGTCAGTCAGTTGTGGTAGAGATGGTAAAATCTTAGTCTGAGTATATGAATATAATTCCTAGGTGGGCCACTGGGCTTTGCACACTTCCATGGCTACAAACTCAACCCTTCTGGCCACACAACAGACCCTTGGTTGTCTAGGAGAGCTGGGCTTTCATTCAGACCTGTCAGGTCACTCAGCAGATTTCAGTCTAGGGTACTCTCTACCTATAACTGATAGGCAGTTAAAGCAGCAGCACATAGCTATTATAAGAAAAACTGATGTTAATGAGATTATTTCCATATTTTTCTATGCAGTGGGTTAGTGACAGGCAATATGATAGAGTTCAATCTCTAAACATTGACCTAATAATGTTTATATGGGATGCAAATTATTCAAAAAGAGAAACTTGTAAAGGCACTGCATAAAAAAAGCAGGTACACTAAAAATGTGAATGCCTTCAGATGAATGAACATAAGGCTCTGGATGTGAAAGGCTAGCAAAGCTGGTTTCTCTGGCAATCTCCCCACAACGGCTTTCTATTAACAAGCATTTAATACATCTACAGTCAGGAACAACCAATCTTTATCGCCGATCAGTGTGATACAATGGTATGAATGCAGGATGTGAGCTCAAGACATCTGGCTTGAATCTCAGCTCTCTACCTAGAAGTTGTATGATCTGGGACAGTGATTTGATCACAGTGGCTCAGTCTCCTCATCCATGAATGATAGATTATGATGACAGCTAACTCAAAGGGTCAAGCTTATGATCAAGTGAGATACTGCAGAAAACATTTCATAAACTGTAAATTGATATACCAAGGTTATGCAATAAAAAAGATCTTAAGATGACTTTTGAATTATACAGTATGAAACTATATTCAGCAGAGCCTTAAAGTTAAGCATATTTCCTTACATCCAGATTCCCAGAAAACTGGTTTTCTGTTTTTGCTGCACAGAGTAACAGGCAGACTATTTTGGAAAGACCTACAGTTATAAGCTGTCTTATCACATAACCCTCTCCATCAATTAACTCTAAGCCACAGGCCGGGGGCAGGAAGGAAGACAGCATGGTTTTAAGGGATTAACACAGAAACCCAAAACTTTTTGCGCCAAGGGATTGTGAGGAATAAAAACAAAGAAAAGGGGGAAACAAAGGGTTGGGGGTGTATACAGGGGAATCTCAGATGTACTTCAACTGTCTACTGTCTAGCAGGTGGATATGAACTTCCCAGCAGGCAGATATGAAAGATGAGGAGCGTTAGATGGGATGCAGGGACTGCCAAGGCAAAGGGGGCTCTTGCCCCACTCTCTAGGACACAGCAGGCTTCTACTAATCCGGTTTGAACAAAGAATAGTCAAGAGGTCCCAAACCATGGTTAAATAAAAAGATCTAATGCACATATCCAAGGTTCCTTCAGTTCCCAAGTGGCCAGCATACTGAGTTGAGAGCCAGCAAGGAGGTGGGGGATACACAGCAGGGTGGCCAGATGGAGGCCACAGCAGGGATTCTGGGCACCAGTGAGAGCTGATCTAAGGGCAAGTCAGCAGGCAGGTAGATCACTGAACACCTGACAACTAGGTCAGGACAGATAATCATCCAGGAGAACCTGAATGTTGGCACAGAATGATTATTCTAAGTGAATGAGGCTGATCCAGAGTAATCTCAAAAGGGCAGTACTTTGGGCAGCTACATATTGTGTGAATGGAACTGAATAGCTGTCACCCTCCAGAGGATAAGTTGAAAACATAGAAACCAATCATCATATATAAACCAGGGCTTTGGGTGCTGTCTCTGGAATGTTGGTAGAATGCTCACCTTGAATCAAATGGGTACTAGAGCAAAGGAGATTGATATACTCTGGCAGAATTTGTATCCATTTCAGATGGAGGCTTATACAATTTGTTCTAGGCCCTAAGAGGTCTAAAGAATAATTGTCATAGTAGAGTCTAGTGTCTTCAACTAAATGGGAGCGCTTTCTCCCTCAGCTGAAATATTGGGGTATCCTTGATGGCTGATGTGTCAAGACGTTATCAGGACAACTTTTTCCTTCACTATTAGAAGCCAGACTTACAGGTTTGCAGGACCTATAAGTGGTATGGAATGTGAACCCACATCAGGGTCAAAACAGGAAGTCTTTTTTCATCACACCCAGTGTTAAGGCTGACATGGGCAAGATCCCTTAACCTGTTCTAGGCAAGAGATGTTTTAACTTTTTGTTGTTAGTTCCTCATGCCTTTTAAGGAAGCTGCAAACTTGAGGATACTGCAGTAGCTCTTCTCCCACTGTACCAGCCCTAGGCTTTGATTCCTATCCCCTCTGGCACATCCCAAAAAGGAAAACAATGAGGAGTTGGGAGGGAAGGAATGCTTGCTCAATCAGATTTTAAGACTTAAAAATAATAAACAATATAGGTAACTAACACTTATACAATAATATGATAGTTAAAAGAGACACCAAAAACTCAAGGATATAGAAAGCATGAAAATAAAAGGATGGCGAAAAAATATATACTTAGCTAAACTTAATTAAAAAGTAGAAACCATCTAAATATGTGTCATCAGGAGGCTATGTACACAGTGGTATATAATAAAATAATAAGTAGCAATGAACACAAATGAACTGTGAGTATGCACATCCAACATAGGATGAATCTCACAAACGTAATAATGTTAGGTATAAAAGGGAAGTCATACCATGATTCTACATAAAGTTTAAAAATGCAAATATGTGGAAAACCTATAAAGAAGAGCATAACAAATGATAACTACAAAATCCTGACAGAGGTAACCCTTTGCTGAGGAAAGGGAGGGTAATCTGGGAAAGACAAAGTCAATGATAAGAGTTACATTTCTTAAGCTAGATGGTGGTTTATTTTATTATTATGTAAATCATGTATATGTAGATACTATGTTCTGTCTGTATGTTTTCTATTAAAATGTCTTTAATTCATAGAAAACAGAGGTTTTGAAAAAAAAAAGCAGGCTCATTGAAATAAAAAAAACTCAAAGCACAGATAAACTCACAGTAGGAATTGCCACAGACTGCTGAGGAATTAACCCATAATGCAACAAAGAACAACAAAAGGATGAACAAGAGAGGTTAGGAGATGCGGTTAGCTGAGAAGCTCCACAACTATTTGATAGACATTTCAGAAGCAGAGAAAGAGGTGCCAATAGGAAAGTAAAGATATAATGACTGAGTATTTTCCCAAAGTAAAGTCTTGACTCTCCACATTGAACACACACACCAAGGAACAAGCAGAAAACAAAACAAAACAAAACAAACAAAATAATACAATAAGGCATATTGCAATAAAATTACAAAACATCAAGGAAAATGAGAAAAATCCTTAAA